GGGGTCTCGATGTCTGACACTGTGGCCCCCGAACACGAGCTGACCGCCCTGCCCGTACTCAGCTAAGGAGCCACACCAAGGAGCCACCCGCACGCTGCCTTTAGGAGCGGAAGGGCCCTCCCTTCAGACCCCGCCCAGCTGCAGCCGGTCCACAGGCTGCAGAGGGACACTTGCCGTGTGACTGTCCTCACGAGCTACAAACTGCTGAAGATCATAGTTGGGGGTTCCTGAGCCTCCTGCATCCTCCCAGGCTGTCTCGTGACCGGCTAGCAGTAGGAGAAGGGGCAGGCCGGGCCGGGGAGTGGGGGTCATGCCCCAGCACCTGGCCACACCGGGCCGGCCCAGATGCTCAGTGAGCGCTACTCACCATGTGGACGCGTGAGCATGCGGCTTTACTCAGGGTAGAGCTGCTGGTGACACGCCGTCCCTGCATTAATAATTCTGTCACGCCTCAGAGGCCCGCGGACCCGGGTGCCACAGTACAGCCGTGGCTGATTTCAGAGCGGCCCTCATGCTCACACGTGCTCCCGTGTGGCACAGACGGGGAGGCTCTCCGTGCCCTGGAGGCTGCCAGCGCCCTCGCACCGATAGCGCTTGCACGACGTCCCGTGGCGCTCTGGGGGCGCGCTCAGTAACTGCCGGAGTGTGCGCTGGTGGCGTCTGGCGTGTCGGAGGGACTCCCCTTTGCTTCGATCTCGGGTACTCTTTGGGGGTCGGCCGTGCTCGTGTGGCTCTGCTCACGCTTGCTGTCGCCTTGCTTCCTCAGCGCGCTGGAGACCAACCGGTACAACCACATCACGGCCACCTACTTCCTGCTGGCAGAGCGGATCCTGCGCGAGAAGCAGGAGAAGGAGACGCAGCGGTCCGCCAGCCCCAGCAACATCAAGGCCCAGTTCAGGTGAGAGCCGGCCGGTGCAGCGCGGCCTGGCGCTCTGACGCCTCCTCACGGAGAGCGCACAGGACACCCGACGGCCTGTCGGAGAGGCCGTGTCCCCTGGGGTCCTCTGTCCCGAGGGCGCCTTCTCCTTCGGGGCTGAGTGGGGAGGCGCCGTGGCAGCTGGCCCAGCCAGGAAGCCAGCGTGGAGCCCTGGCTTGCTGGCTACACGCGAAACTGCACGTCTGACGTGTCCATGTGGCTGTTCTTCAGGTGCTCGTTTCAGGGACAGGGCCGTGTTTTCGCTCGGTTACCTGAAACTTTAAAAATGAGTAGGTGCTCCCGTGCTGCCGGAGCATCTCAGGGCCAAGGCAGGCCGGGCTGCGAGCTGGCTGCTCGGAGGTCACGGACTGTCCCGTTACAGCTGCCTGGTGTGGACAGCGAGGGCAGCTACGCCATGACCCGGGTGCGGAGGTGGACGGGCCGACGTGTGGTGTGCAGACAGGTGCGTGCCTGCGCCATTGCTGCAGCGCGTCCACCAGGTCCCCCGTCGCGTCCGAGGGCAGCGGACAGGTGCCTCCCCTCCTCCCCTGGCTCCTCACATCCCCCGACTTCGGCCCCTCACTTTCTTCCTCCCCTGCCGGGCCACTGCCCACTTACCCTGAGGCGCAGGCAGGGCCCCCTGCGTCGGTCAGCACCACGCAGTTCCTCCAGGACTCGTCCACACAGGCCCGCGGAGGGCTGAGAACGGGGGTGCTTGGCCCGAGTGCCGGGCTCCTGCGTCCAGCCCCGTGTGGACATGCGTGCCTGTGCACGGTGGTCACTGTCACCACCCTGAGAGCCAGGGTGCCTTCGCAGTCCCGGCTCCTGGCGTCTGCACCGTCTCAGTGCTGCCCACGGGGCGCAGACGCCACAGCTCGCCCAGGGACGAGGGTCTCGAAGTCCTGTTTCCCTGGAGAGGGGATTCAGGAGCTCATCCACACCTGGGGGTCATCCTCTGTCCTCTGTCACACAGTTAGCCACAGCCTGGGCCTGGACGGAGCCCCAGGGAGTGAGGGGACTCGAGGGAACACAGAGGCCCGCACTGAGAGTGCGAGCGGAGGTCTGCCCAAGGCCCCAGTGTGCAGGAGTCCCCTTAGGCAGGTGGTCGTCACGGCCAGGTGCCCACGTCTCTCTGGAGAAGAGGCCACCAGGCCTGGGCCGTTTCCTTTCCGTGGCGCAGCTGGGAGCGTGGGGCTGTGCCTGCTCGGATGCGGGGTGGCGGCACCGCTCTCCTGGTGTGGGCGGCTCGCAGCAGACTGCCCCTGCCCCCAGCGACTGCGGTGTTTTTGCCCACTTTTGGGCAGAAAGTGGCAGGGACTTGGCCCAAAGGTTCTGCAGTTGGGGACAGAGTCCTAGGCCTGCGACTGGGTAAGAACTCGGATCCACGGGTGAGGGCGGGGGAGGCGGGTTTCGGGAGTGGAGGAGGTGGGCTCAGCCTGGAGGAGTGGCGTGTGGTGGCGGGCTCCGGGGAGCAGGGTGGCGGGGGGTGGTGGGAGTCACCGCAGCTGCAGCCCAAAGCCTCCTAAAGCCCGGATGGACTCGGTTTCAGACGCTGGCTCAGGGATGGCATAGGCACACTGCCGCGTCTGGGAGACCCAGGCCTCTGGAGCCGGGTGGGTCTGCACTCTGCGGCTGTGCCTGGGTCGTCCGTGGACTGTGTCCTCCTGCAGCCCGCCCTGGAGGGCTCTTGCGGAGGCGACCGCAGCCGGAAAGTTAGGGACAAACTCTAGGTAGTCGGGCAGGCGTTGGGAGTGGGGCGCGGTGCATGCGGCTGGCTGTGGTTGGCTGTGCCTGCTCCGGAGCACAGGCTCTGGGGTCAGTGGAGGTCCCTGCGACACGAGCGTGCTGACGTGGCCTGAGCACGGCAGGCGTGCGGCGTGGGTCGCAGCTCACGTCTGTGCTGACTCCTGGGACCAGGCCAGACACGCACTGGGTCCTGCAGGCTGGGTGGAGATGGGTATGTCTGGGCTGCTGCCGGAGGCCTTGACGTCCCCAGGGAGCGGACCTCAGCACCGGGTGTGGTGCCTCCATCCTCCGCGCGAGAGGCCAGGGACTGAGGATGCTGGACGCCTGCCCATGGGGCCCCGAGGTGGCCGAGGGGAGCCTGCCCGGGCAGCTCACACTCACGGTCCCCGTCTATCTTCAGAGTCACCGTCTGCAAGCCTGTGTGACCCGGGCAGGTCGTCTACCCTCTGTATTGATTTCTTCATCTGTGAAAGGGGACGGGTGGGAGCCCCGCCTTCACAGCCTGGCCCGGAGACGCTGCTCCGATGGTGCTTGTGGGTCGCCAGCTTCCCTGCGGTGACCCTGAGCGGGCGTGTCTGCCGTGAGGTCCCCAGGGGTCTTCCATAGCCGCCTCGCCTGGCGTGTTTCTCGAGATCTGGGTCCAGGACTTGAACCCCTTGGTTGGCCATGTGGGATCCAGCACCTTACCCTCTGCACCAGCGGCTGGCCCCAGGATCAGCAATGCTCTTGTCACTTGCCCAACTCCAGACTGGGGAGTGAAGTCGGCGTTTAAATCCACTTGGCTGTCCCGGGCGCCTGTGCGGTGGTTCGCGTGAACCCGTGTGTGACTGAGTGAGTGAAAGGCAGTGCTGAGCTGAGGGTCCGTGCAGCACCGGCCTTCCCCCCGTGTTCTCGTGTTGAGTCCAGGACGCCCTCCCCACGTGCGCCTCTCAGGAGCCTCGGGCACGCACGGAGCCTGGGCCAGGTTTGCCTGGGCCTGGTTTTCAGAACTACAGAGTTGGTGTGAAGTGGGAATGTCACAGGGAAAGTGGCTGTTGGGAAGCGTCTGGCATCTCTTGTCCCGGCAGAGAGCATAGCTGGGAATTCAGGCGGCTCTTCCCAACGGAGGCGCCAGAGAGAGATGGAGACAGAGAGGGAAGCAAGAAGTCACCCCCCGGGGGATGGCCACGCGGTCCCTTCTCAGGTCTCTTGGGATTTTGCGCACGCACACACACTCGCCTGGCGTGTTTCTCGAGATCTGGGTCCAGGACTTGAACCCCTTGGTTGGCCATGTGGGATCCAGCACCTTACCCTCTGCACCAGCGGCTGGCCCCCGGATCAGCAATGCTCTTGTCACTTGCCCAACTCCAGACTGGGGAGTGAAGTCGGCGTTTAAATCCACTTGGCTGTCCCGGGCGCCTGTGCGGTGGTTCGCGTGAACCCGTGTGTGACTGAGTGAGTGAAAGGCAGTGCTGAGCTGAGGGTCCGTGCAGCACCGGCCTTCCCCCCGTGTTCTCGTGTTGAGTCCAGGACGCCCCCCCCACGTGCGCCTCTCAGGAGCCTCGGGCACGCACGGAGCCTCCCTCGTGGCTGTGCCGGCAGAACCCACTGGGCTACTGGCTGGGTCTGGCCTTCGTGGCGACCCCGTTTCTCTTGTCTGGAAAGCTCGTGTGTGGGGGTGGGGCCGCTCTGGCCCTTAGCTTTCCCGGCAGCCACGAGAACGCTGTCACGTGGCTGAGAAGCCCCTGAGGGAGCCGCGGTCAGAGCACCATGCCCGCGGTGGGCACCTCGCTGTCACCGCTGGCCCTGAGCGGGTTTGCAGGGCTGCTGCTTCTGCCCCTTCTCAGTCTGCGGCTTTCGTCACGTCGTACGCCTCCTGGTCTGTGCATCCGGTGACATGGCTTTTCTCTCCCAATCTGTCCCACAGGCAGTCGTGGCCAACCAAAATCGACGTGCCGCAGGACCTGGAGGATGACCTCACGGCCACGCCTTTGTCCCACGCCACCGTCCCTCAGTCTCCTGCTCGGGCTGCCGACAACGTCCTCAACGGCCACCGGAGCAAAGGCCTGTGTGACTCGGCCAAGAGAGACGACCTCCCCGAGCTAGCCGGGCCAGCCCTGTCCGCGGGGCCGCCCGCCAGCCTGAAGCCCGCAGCCAGCGGGCGCAAGTGCCTGTTCAGGGTGGAGGAGGACGAGGAGGAGGACGAGGAGGACAAGAAGCCCGTGTCCCTGTCCACACATGTGGTTCTGCGCCGGAAGCCGTCCGTGACCAACCGCCTGACGTCTCGGAAGAG